CATTACCATGTAATTCTCTTGCACCCATCGGGAAGAGTCTGTATCAGGTTTCTTCTCCTCCCCAGTGAGATACCCTAATTTTCCACGGGCACCAATAGCCATCTTAGYKGATTGTGCCYWCTCCAAATAATTTGTACCATCAAGTTTTACTGTAGTAATGATCCCAGACCCAAAAATATCACTACTACCTCCAACACCCAGTCCCAGAGTACCGGTAGATTTCATCTCGGTATTCCAACTCTCCATTTTACTTCAAACAGTTCAACATTAAGAAAAAATAGATTGGAGACCTTCAAAAAATAATTTAATACCACACACGTAGAAACCAACCCTTCCAGAAGAAGAAAACCGTAGCTAGAGGGAAATCTCTCTCCTCCCCATGCCTCCCAACAGAGAAAAAAGTGAATCGATCACTCCGAGAGGCCTAGAAAATTTCAAAAACCAAATCGCCCTCTTCAAAAAATCCAAAGAAAACTAACAATACCTGGGCGCCCAAGATCAGATCAAAAACAAAGAGTCCAACTTTTCTAGGACTCTTCTCCGTACTCCAGTTCTTCCTGATTTTGATGCCGAACAATGGATCACCTTCCTAATGTCTAGATCCCACCAAAACTCCAAGAACTGGGCAATCTATAGCAGATCAATCAGCCCTTTACTACTTCATGCAGTCGGCTGATCTAGGGCTGCATGAGAATGCTTCAAGAAATCCTAGCCGATGCTCTGATACCAAGTAGAAATCTGCTGAATTAAAAAATATGAAAGAAAGTAGTTTCTTAAAGAGAAGGAAGAGAAAAGGAGAAGAAGAGAATAAGAGAAGTTGAAAGAAAAGAGAGCAAAATCTGGCCGCCCCCTTCACTTATTATTTATACTAAAATAATAGAACAGTACAAAGACAACTATGCCCTTATAGGGCGACAAAACATAAAACAACATATATAACACTCAAAAAACATAATAAAATTTGGACTCACATAACTACTGTRGTCCCCACCTTCTATCTAACAACTAACATAAAACATCTACTCAGAAAAACATCATAAAACTAATTAATCTTCAACAAAACCCAAGTGTTATGCCTGTCTCACCAATGGCCTAACCTTCCAAGGTGTCAGATCCTGTTTCTTCATCCAACAAATTAGAGTTTGACAATCACCTTCCACCTCCACGTTCTTTAGGTCCTTTAACCTCATCAGTTCCAGCCCCTGTAATAGAGCTTTCAATTCAGCCCTTAAAGAGTTACCATACCCAATACTGTCCAGCTATCTTTTTTTTTTTTATCAATAACTCGGAAAAGATTCCATTAATTAGAAAACTTTAGGATACAATACTGTCCACCTATCTATGAATTTATGGTTAGAAGTTGTTTTTGGCCACTTTACTAATTCAAATTGGAGCCTATAAAAGGAGATCCCCAAGTCTTTATGTTGAAACTACAACTATTTTCTTTTGTAAATTGGCTAGTAGAGAGTTGATTTATGAAATGAAAAGTTTGTTTTGAAGTTTGGGTAGGACTCTAATATTCTTTTCTTACTTTTTTGTATAATTGATCTTCTTCTCTCTTTCCACTCTCCTTTTATCTCTACAAGTACAACCTTTTTTTCTCTCTTCTTAACTATTTCAGAAGTGAATATTTTTCTTTTCCTATATTCTTCTTCTTTATGCACCACATATATCTTTATGGGACTTCCCCTTTCCTGTCCAAAATCAGATGTGTATGATGATTTCAAGGGAAACTTTCCACTGAGACCAACCTTCCAAAGCATCACAACCCTTTAAATAAATAAGATATTTCTTCAACATACTTGCTCACCGAGCAGGAGACTTCTAAAAATAGGACTTCTAGCCTCCTTATCACCTTGGTATTGAAAGAATAGATAAATGGTCTAAACCACTTGCAAGAAGACTCCATAGAACCAAGGATACAACTCAAGAAGAATACTGGTAACATGATTCCTTCCAAAAATAGACTCCATAGGAACACTCTTCAGAGGAAAGTAGTTTTAAAGGCTCTCCCAAAATCTGATTCTGTTTCCTCTACCACCTTAAATCCTCGAGAAACAATAAATCTTAAAGGCCCTTCATGATTCCCTCCAAAAGTTGATTCCATAGGAACTCTTCACAGGCCCAGATGCCCCAGCAGAAGAAGATTCTCCATACTCAGCCACTTACCATGGTATGACCTTCTAAGTAAGAAGTTCAGTAATTAAACACTTTTCTTGAAATATGAAAACTCATTAACAGAAAACAGAGGGTTTAAATCTTTGTAGAGCATCATCAGACCTGATTTGCAACTTACTTTGTAGTTTGTACAACATAAACACTAGAAATTTTAACTAGCAGAATTGAAGCAATGTCACTGATATAGAAGATATCAAGAGGGTGGGAATATCATATACCTGTTCTGCCTAGAGCGTGAGGATTGTATATTTATAGGCCCAGCACATGAGCTCTGAGAAGACATGATATTATCACCTTCTACAGGAAAGCTGAATGATGGTACTATGCAAACCAATGAAGACATATTAATTATACCCAAATGAGAGGGAAAAGAAGGAACAAATAAAGAAATATAAATCATACCAATGCCATTGCTTAAAGAAAATTGAGCATTAATAACAAAACCAGAATTTCAATGCAATCAAACCTGGTACAGAGATTTCTGATGTATCCTGATACTCAACTTCCCCTAATGTCATAACTCTGCTACAGGAACTCATCTCTCGTTTTTTCTGCATTCTCTCTTCTTCATCCTTAAGTTCTTGTTGTTGCATTCTTATTTTAGCTTCTATAACTCTCTGTTCTTCCTATAAACAAAGGCAGTAGAAATAAAAGCATGATCCATGGGCTGCACAGAGACTGAAGGAAAACTTTCATGCTCCCTACAAAAATAAAAGAATCCATAGTAAAGAAGACCTACTACTTGTTCCATGCCCTTTTCCTCTTTTGACCTCACTCCACGATACTCCACAGCATAATTTGATGTTTTACAAAAGGGGCACCTTTTATGGTCAAGGAATCAACAGAAGCAGCAAAGAATAAATGAAACAAACAATTCAATGGCCAACATGAACACTTATCAATCAAACAAACAATATAAACTCAATATGTGAAGGATACTGTGTGGGACGAGTAGTATGAGGTGGTTTCATCTGCAAAAAACACTCTGGCAAAGAATATACCATCAAAAAATATTGGCATAAACAAACCATTTAGAATATGGGTGTTAATAAGTACCTGTACAAATGCCTTTCATGCAACATCTTGAGCGGTTGAGACTTGGATAATACTAAAAGAAGACAAATATGTTTAAAAATAGTACTATTAGTGCTGTCATACTGACACCCATACGAATTCCCAAATGCAAAACACCATCTAATTCAAGGTCTGCAAACCATGCTGAAGTATTCAGAAAAATAAATTGACAAATAGAAACATAAACAGAGTGATAACTGTATCTACTAACCAAGAAGCAGATGGGACATTCTTCAAGATCGAAAGCATATTCTTCATTTCCGGGATAACATGGAGCCAATTTCGAGTCAAGAATGAGCTTCCTTAACTTCTTATGATCCACATCTTTGTGCTGATACAATCCTTGAGGCCTTGTATACTTCTCATCCACCACCTGCCGCCTCCTTACCAACTTATTCCCCATCAAAGCAGCAATGAATAATCAAATGAATAAACCCTTCAATCTTCCCTTCCTTATTCCTTGAATTTCAGCACTAACAATACACAACCATCCCTTCAATTGCTGATTTCTTTACTAAATCATCCAAAACACTCCATTAAAACAATGAAATCAACTGAAGCAATTCAAACCAAATCATCACACCACATACCCGAGAAAGAAGCAGCCATCAAGGCTTCAAAATAAACCCTAATTCTTACACCCCAACAAAGAACACCACAAACCCTCTTCTTGCACCTCCATGGATTAAAACCCACTACATCGAAACCAGAATATCGCCACAACCACAACAAAACCAGCTCAGCAATTACATCTCCAATTCCTCTCTTTCCCTCTCAACCCAGTTTCACTAAAGCAAGAAAACAAAGAACCAAACTAAAAGAATAAACAAAAACCACCTCGCTGAGCTTCAGACCAAACGAGAAACGACCCACGAATCAAGCACGAAAACCAAGCAAAGAATGTACAACTACAGAAGCTCTTCGAACACCAAATTTCATCTTGAACCGTAATCAGAAACCAATTCCTGAGCGAGCTTTCTCCGTTCGAGAGAATCGAAGAAGAGATGATTTCAACGATGGAGAGCACAGTACAACTGAAAAATGAATGGAGATTGAGATAATAATTTCCAACATTAAGTACAGAAGCAAGATCAGAACTTTCTCTGATACACGAGACGGTCTCCCTCTCTAGTTATTTTTTCCTTCCTTTTTTTATTTCACGATTCTCTCCTGTTTCTTTCGTTTCCGGCACTCGCTTCCTCGGACAGCTTAAAAAAATGGAGAGAGAGAGAGAGAGAGAGGGAGAGAGAGAGAGAGAGAGCAGGACTCAGTTAGTCAGGTGGCGAGAGAGATTGGTACAAACTGTACCACTGACTCACTGAGTCTACTACTGTAGGCAACGTTGGAGTGGTCGACCACTCGACCCGGTAAGAATCCCGGGCGTTGAAGGGAAAATAGGACCTCGGAAACGATTTAATTACGAGAATGTCATCGTGCAAGTAAACCATCCACGTGGAAGGACGATACATCGATGAACCACGAAACGCAGGAGAGGTGTTTGGTTGTGGAGTTAAAGCTTGTTGGTGCTCATTTAATCATGATTCATGAACAAAATTGTAGAGGCGTTTGGCAGCAACCTGATGGCTGATAGTTATGTCACTTTGATCGAACAAATGGACCCCACACAATTACCGTTAGCCACCTATTCAATCTCCTATCCGCGTTAGCCCTCTGTACTTGATTTATTATTAGTCTACTAATGGTACATGTGTCATACACAAGTTTTGTTAAAAGAATTTGAGGCAAATGGAGCTAGGGGTGGATGGGCTTAACTGAGTCCAACCCAGCTCAATTGAAGCTTTTACATAAGTTAAAGCTTTAGTTTTCAAATTTCAAGCTGGGCTTGAGCTAATAAACTCACGCCTAACCTAAACTTGGGTTAAGTTTGATTGAGGTATCAAATAGCTCAAATTGGACCCAGTTCAACCCGAGTTCATCTAACATTTTATGATACACATATTTACATATTATCAATCTATTCTACTTGAAAATTGGGTTACAAAGCTAAACATGCCCAAGCCCAATTTGAGATACTGGGTTAAACTTAGGTTAGTGTTGAGTTGGTAAACTTGAGCTTAACCTTGAGTTGGGTCAAGCCTGAATTCAAAGTTTGAGACTTATGTTGGACTTGGGTTGACCCCCAACCTAACCCAACCCAGGCAACTTGCACCCCAAAGGAGCATCGTGACATTCCTAATGGAATAGAGGATTTTAAATTAATAATAATTAAGTTTAAAACTAATAATTTTGTTATTTTTTTTTATTTCGTCAACAAATTCTTATTTTTTAAATGAAATTTAAATGGATGTCAAATTATAAGATTTTTTTAAACTAAATTTTTCCCCTTTTGTTGTTTTATTAATAAACATGTTAGGTTTAAGTCGGGTAAAGTCACTAAAAAGCTTTTGTATAGTTGGGTTAGGCTCGAATTAGTATAATGCCAAGTTGGGTTTAAGTCCAAATAACCTAGAGGCTAGTGCCAAACCCAGCACCAAAAATTGAAAAATCCCATGGTTTTGGCTAGGGGTGTCAATTGGACTAGATTTTGTCCAATCCGATCTAGTCCAATGTAAGTCCATTATAAATGGACCAAGTCAATCCAATTTAATGAATATTTTGGAGTGATCCAATTCAATGTCTGGATTGTCCAATCTATTCAAATTCATTTTGGTTTAGATTGGTTTCAACCCAAACTTGGTCCATTGACACTTATATTCTCATCTTATATCAACGGACCAGATATTGGCTTAATCCAACCCAATACAATATAAATTTATTACAGATGGACCAAGTCCAATCCAATCTAATAAATATTTTGAACTGAATTGGTTCAGCCCAATATGTTTTGTGGGTCCGTCCAATTCATCTAAATTGATTTTGGATTGGACGGGGTCCAACCCAAAACTGGTCCATTAACACCTTAGTTTTGGCCCAAGCCCAACCTAAGGACCAAAAATAGTAGTCCAATCCATGCAAAAATGCAAGTTGGATCAGTTCAAGCTCAAGTTAGGCTTGCCCAAGTTGCATTCCTATTTCCTTGCATGGTAACTAGTAGGGGTGAGCATGGGTCGATTCAATTTGGTTCCATGGCAGAATCTGGAACTTACCCTGTAGGGGTCGGTTCCAAGTTTTTGGAACCGGAACCTACCTTGTGAAGGTCAGTTTTGGCCTTGACAGTTTTTGGGTTGGTTCCAAGGTCTACCTATGGAACTTGTTCCATCTTTACTCTCCCCTTTCAAGAAAAAAATGAAACATGTCCTTCAAAAAGTTGATCGTCAATGATGATAATATATAGTTTAAAACTTATATTATCCTTATTGATTAAATTGAGTACTATATTAATATATGGTCGAAATTTTGTCATTATAATTTAAATTTTGTAAATAATAACTTTTACATTATTTATTATACACAAACAAATTATCAAATCACTTAAGTAACCTGATGGTCAAGTGAGACCATGGCTTTTGTGGCCATGAGTTCTTGGGCTCAAATCTTCACACCCTTAAAAGTATTTTGGGGTTTATTTCAAGGCTTCGGTTCCAAGGTTAGTTCATCAGGTGGGTAGACCTAGTCCCTAGAATCGACCTAGGTGGGGGTTGGTTCCAAGAATTTGGAACCATACCCTACCTTATAACAAATCAAGTAGGGTTGGTTCAAGGCCAGCTTAAGGTTAGTTCCATTTGGTTCTAGGTAGAACCTACCCATTTGCTCACCCCTAGTAACTACATAGTATTATACACATATACAAGCCTTGTCTCATGCTATAGGGTAATTTGCAATTGGGTCACAACAATCACAAGGAGCCTTAAGATATTCACATTTGAGCCCAACCCAAAATTTTTTAAATGGAATCTAAATGGATTTTAAATTTTCATTAATTTTTATTTTTATATCATTGTTAACCGGTCCTTTGCTTTTATAAAAGTCTCTTATATGGTATGTACACTACACAATAAAGGACCCAACTCATATAAATTATTAATTTTAATAACATTACTAATTCATTTAAAATGCATCAATACAAAGTTATCTAATAAAACAAAAAAATAAGGGAAAATTCCCGATAGTTACCCTATACTTTGGGTTAAGTGCCAATTTAATACTTGAACTTTAAAACACGATAATCTAGCATCCAAACTTTTAAAATGCAACAATTTAGTACCTACCAAATGGACTGTCAGTTATGTATATCACGTTACTTCATCTATGATTTAAGACTTTTAAAAATGTCAAAATTATCCTTAAAAATAAAACACATTGGTCATCATCTTCGCCCCAAACAATGACTCTTGGCTGTTTAGCGTCTATCCGTACCTGAAACTTTGGTTCTGACAAAAGCCTTATTAAATCTATTATGAGGATGTATCAAGTTGTTTCCTCATTTGAGCAAAATTGTTGGCAGACTCTAAATTTTGGGTTTTTTTATTTTTTTTCAACCGCATATTCATCTTTGTGAATGCAATTTGTGAGCTCCAAGGAAGTATCTCACACAAGATTTTAACATATTCAAATATATGATTCTACTTTGGTTGAGCATCAGGGCATGATCAAGTCATTTTTGTTTGAGATGTGCATTGAATTTCATTTATTCCCTCCTGCCCTAATTGTTTAACATAGGTTTACTTTGGTGTATGCTCGGACTTTCTTCTATTCACCCTACTGATTTTAGGTTTTCATTTAGAGTAATTGTAAAGACTATACCAAGCAAATATCCTGTAGGAATTCCCGTTTGCACATTTCTATTATCTTCCAGTTGTGCACAATGGATTGGGTTTCCTAAAGAGCCACAGAGCCATGGTTGGAAGAAGTAATATATGTGCAAATGAAGCTTAAAATTTCTATCGTTGACGTTTAGCGAAAGTGCTTTTTTTTTGCGATTATTTTTTAATTAAATGCATGGATGGGAGAGAAGCCATGGCGTTGTCTGGCTCTACATGCAGCAGCGAGGGGTTGCAGGATTAGGGCCGGGAGCACAGACTGGGCTACATGGACCACCGGGCATTTGCCCACTAACTAGTCCTATTATGCCAATGCAATCAAATATTGGTGGCAGTTCAGTTGGATCAACATTCCAAGTAGAGCCTTCGTCTACGATTTCGCCTCATGGTGTTAACGTGAGTATGCCATCGAGGGCTCCAGCAACAATTGCTGAGACCAAATCTACTCCATGGATGATGTATACAGAAAAACCGAGGAGGTTCGACCAGTTTTTGCTTCGGGTCATTCGCCTCCGAGCAGATATAACCTTGTGGAAGATTACAGTCTCACGGGAGCAAGGTGAGATGCAGCATTCCTTTGTATACCAAAGAAAAAAAATAGTAGTAGCAAAATGGATCTTCAGACTGTTGGGGATCTCAATGACAATAAAAGACTTTGTGAGTCCACAAATAGAGGATGCGAAACATGATAGGCTGAATGAAGAAATCCTCCATGTCTAGTTTGGTTTCTCTTTCTTTTCAGAATCCTGTTGCTTCAGACCTTTTTTTTTTTCTCACTGCTGTGGGCTGGTTTTCTTCTCTGTTGATTTTGTGTGATTAAAATGCTTTGAAGCTGTTTATGCAACTGTGCTTTGAACTGGTAATTTGCAGCCAGACTCTTCTCAATATCTTCCTTGGCCACTATAAGTTTAGTTTTCCTTGACTCTGCTGCAGCTATTTCTGAATTATTCAAATATCCATTGTTTCCATGAAGTTCTTCAAGGCATGACTTGAGCTAAAATATGAAATAAAGCAACCTCCAAAACATTAATTCTTCCAAAATACAGTCTATCATCAGAGGGTGCTAACTATTCAATTAATCATATCAGACATGCAAGTAAGAAAAATGAAAAAAAAAACATTAATATACCAAATAAAATATGGAAACCATCATGGATTCTATCATAACATTAAGAATCTAATTTGGTTTACATAACCCACTTACATTTACTGCTGAATTTTTCCTCAGGAATCTATTACAATATATGAAAATGGGAGATTTGGTTACTTCTCTTTTCCATCTCCTCCCAATAACATTTGTGCTTTTTCTCTCACATGCACTACCCTGATATAATTGGTTCTGTGCCACTTTAAAGATTAGTTTGGTTAATCATAGTTTGCTTTAGTCACAATGTAAGACTTGTTAATATTTATGAGCAAAAACAAAGTTTGCCCCAAATATTCATGGAAAACAATTGGGTTTAACTTTTATGCTCAATATAACTATTAATCTTCTAATCTTTTGTTTTCTTTGGTTTTTTTTAAATGAACTTGTATTATTTTGAAATTAGAAGAAAGAAGTGCTCATTAGAGAATGTAGGATGACATACTAACATCTGAGCCTATAGTCCTATCCTATCCTCTGTCAAATAGTACAACTAACCAACCCAATCCTCTGAAAGGAACTCCTAGGAATTTGGCCACAAAAAATTGCACTATCCAAGCCTAGGCTAGCTAAACCAACTAACTGTTGCATTCATCGCCATGCAATCCATCAAAAAATGCAAGAATTTCCTTAATTTTATTAAGATAATGAGCCTCCATTGGAGTTGTCAATAGACCAGATTTTGGTCCAATCTGATCCAGATCCAATAAGGACAACCCAATTCAGTCTGAATTCAAATCCAAAATCCATAAATCCAATTTGGTCCATTTAAGTTGACTACAATCCAATCTAAGTGGTGCCTTTCTGTTACATGATTCCTCCCATGACCTGATTAATGCCAATAGAAAACTTCAAATATGAATCCTATACCTGTGCATTTCCTCCAGATCATCTTTAAGACAATACCTTTGAATTGGAATATTTCTCTTGTGTTTTGATCATTGATGCACTTATCTGATTGAGGCCCTACAAACTATAATCCAGCACAAACAGAATAAAATGATTCAAATCCAAAAGATTTTGAGAACTTATAAAAGTTATTCATAACGTCATCAATAATGATGTTTTCTAGAAAACATGAGGGGGCATGTGTGCATCCCTACCTTGATAGAAGAACCTCAATCCTCCTCAATGAGGTTTTCCTTCCCTCCATTCTAAGCACCTGAATATGGACTTAATAGCTTCTATTTCATCTTTAATGGTGTTAAAGAAAGAGGGAAGTCAGAGTCTTTTCCTTTCAAAGCTTTACTTGAAAGATAGATTTCCTTACGCTCACAAAGTGAAGAACATTGGATTTAATGAGTTTAGTGGGATCTGATCTGATAAAGGAACTCCACAACTTAAAAGGAATTAGGTGTATGATTTATTTTCTAGTTGAAAACAACAAAACATTGGAATTGAGCCAGATTATTAGCAGATCCAAGTTGATATAGATCCAATCCAATAACATAATGAATTTGAGATCCAATCCAATCTAAGAAGCATAATAGATGTCCAAATCCAAATTAATTGAATTGGATTTGGATTGGATCCAATCCAAAAATGGTCTGTTGACAGTCCTAACTCCAATGCCCCTACCCAATCTTTTATTCAATCTGAAGGTGGTGGCTAAGCCATAACCCTTGCTTTGATTGCATCTAGATTCTAGAACACCAATGGGGCCACTGAAGACCCACAAAAACGTTCTTATCCCTCTTAAAGAAAATTCCACAGAACTTAGCAATTAGCATATCTTGGATCCCTTGAGAGTTTCTACAAAAGTGTAATGTGAACTTCGCATCAAATGATGGGGGATGTGGGCAGAAATACTTTATATTTGTTAGAAACAATCATATATGAACTAAGTAGAAATACAATTAGTCTCACTATTAATCATATTCAAGCCAGATCATTTTTGTTTTCCTTAATATGATCTTACCTTTGTATATTCATAAAATATTATGGTATAGATTCAAAAAAGGACCTTTCATAAATGGTGCAGCATAATCGAGCAAAGCATCAACACACCAACGTTCTCCATCAAACTGAATGGAGGGGTGGAAGAACATTTCAAATCTCATTTTGAACTCCGGAAAGCAGACCCGCTCTCACCATATCTCTTCATCATAGGAATGAATGTCCTCTCCACAATGCTCCAAAAGGCATTAGAAAGAAATCAAATACAAGGGATCAAAATCTCAAGGAAGGGAGAAGCACCAACTCATCTACTTTTTGCAGATGATTGTATACTGTTTAGCAAGGTTGATCTTGACCATCTCCAAAACTTGAAGAGCCTCATAAGGGAATTTGAAGAGATGTCGGGGCAGAAGATAAATTGCAACAAATCGGGCATCTTCTTTAGCAGAAGCATCCCAAGACTCCACTAGAAGCTCATAAGCAAGTATCTTGGAGTAAATGCCTTAAGCCTCAATGATAAATACCTAGGAGCCAAATTCTGGATTGGAAAAAAAAAAAAAGCTCACAAAGACATAGGTGATAGAATAGAGAAAAGAATGGAAGGATGGCAAGCACAAGCTCTCTCACAAGCTGAAAGGTCAACCCTAATAAAAGCAGTAGTATAGGCCATACCTCAATACAGTATGATGGTGGACATCCTACAAAACAAAATCCACAAGAAAGTAGAGAAAACACAAAGAAGGTTTTGGTGGAAGCACAATGGAAAAGGAAATAACAACATCAGATGGGAAGACATTTGCAAACGAAAACACCTAGGAGGCCTCGGTTTTAGAAGAAGAGTGAAGGAAGCAAACAAATCCCTCTGTTCGATACATATCTAGAGATTCCTAACAAGCAAAGATAGCATGTGGGCCAAACAAACAAGAGATAAATACTTAACAAATAGCAAAAGCTTCTTTGCATGTAAAGCGGCACAAGGCCACTCGGGATGGTGGAAGGCAGCCTTAAAACTCAAAGAAGAACTAGTCAAGAGCTTCTGCTAGTGCTTAGGAAACAAAAAGCAAATTGACATTCTTGAAGACCCTTGGGTACCATGGATCGAGGATCACAAACCTTGGTTGAAGCAACAAACAACAATACTTCCAAATGAAAGAAAGGTAGAACACTTCATTAATCCAGATCGAACATGGAACCTTGAGAAGCTAAGCCAATTCTTCAAAGAAGAAAGCGTGGCAGCCATCAGGAATGTGCCAATCCCACAACACAAGGAAGATGAGCTCCTATGGAAAGGAACACAGAATGGCTCCTTCTCGGTTAAGTCTGTATACCAACAATTGATCCAGCAAAGAGGAACAGAGGATCGAACCTCCACCAAATGGTCCAGAATATGGAAAATCAAAAGCCCCTTCCGATGCCAATTGTTCTTGTGGAAATACATGAAAAGCAAAATAAAATGCAAGGCAAACATATGGCATATAAGGCAGTTAAATAACACTAACTTCTCCTTCTGTGATGAAGCTCCAGAAACATAGCAGCACCTCTTCCTAGAATGCCCTCTAACAAGAGCGGTATGGCTACCTCTTCCTCCTCTCTCTACTAACCCACTTAAATCAGGCCACCTGTCTCTATCCATCTCTCAATACATTTAACCTGTCCAACCTCCCAACAAAGGTCCAACAGAGGTTAACCCTCCGTTAATTATTAATCTTTTTTCAACGAGTAAATCAAAGTTTTCTTCTGTGAATCCTTCTTATTAATCCATTTTCAATGGAAATTGGCAAACTGCAATGTGGGAAGAATCAATGATTTCACTCTTTTTCATATATAATAGTATCAATTATTGATAGAAGAAATCAAATGTGAGAATCAGTAACTTTGTTGTTATTTGTTTGTGGGATGCTCTGCCATGTAAGTGCTAATCAATGGAGATGAGAGGGATTTTATTTATGGAATTAAACGTGTGGTCCATCCCACCAGGTGGCTCCGCTGAGGGTTTGGACCTTTGCTGGGAGGTTGGACAAGTTAAATGTATTGAGAGATGGATAAGGACAAGTGGCCTGATTTAAGTGGATTAATAGAGAGGAGAGGAGAAAGAGATGAGCAGGAAATCTGGCTTCTGGAGGATAATCCTTCGGGCCCAAACATACATCACAAACACCTTAGAGGAATCCACTAATGCAAGCCGCCAGAATCAAACATAGCTCCCCAAAATGACATGCCTTTAGATATTCAAGTCAAATTATTCACAAAAGGATAATGGGCTCCATCAACACGGTTAGCAGCTACAGGTCACCTCATACTCACAAATGATAATGATTTTGTCTTTGCAGAGGGGGAACTATTGGAAAACGTGGGATTACTGGTGTAGATGTATATTYGGTAGTTAGCATTTATATTTGGTAATTGTGTAAAAATAGAATTATGTGAATATGTATTCCTAGGATTGTGGAAGATTATAATCCCTTAAATATGGGAATTAAAAAGGTTAGTCCCTTAATTATAGGGATTGATTCCCTTGATTATAGGGATTGATTTAGAAAGTTTTTTTTTTCTATTTATTGAAGCAGCTTACTGTATAAATATGCCGATTGGCAATGGAATGAAGCAGATCAGTTTTCTATCATTTCAAATAGGAACCATGCAAGCCACAACGTCAGCAGATGTTGAAAGTTGGGCTATTCTCAGAGGCTTGAGGACAGCAAAAGAAATGGGCTACATAAAGGTTGTGGTCTTCACAGACTTGTGCCAGGTAGCAAAACTTATGAAACAAAGCTAGCCGTCCATCGGACGGAGCATGAAGGGAATCATCGAAGAAATCAAGCAATTAGCTCTCTCTTTTGTAATTTTCAGTATATATTATGTAAAAAGATCAGAAAACACCAAAGCTGATCTCCTAGAAAAAAGATCGGCTCAGTGAAGAAGATTGGCTCCACCACCCTTGGCCGCTTCGGGGGGTTTAGCTCTTCTCTGGCAGCTTCGCGGGCTGACGACCGAGCTGCTACCGAGGTGCAACCCGCGACAATCGATCCTCCAACGATTACGTGGATGGTCCCTCGGACTGGTATCTCGCCTGGAGGCTGTCTCTGCGGTTGCTCCGCCTGTCTAATGGACTCGGGGGTTTCTTTATTCTGCTCCCTGTGCCGACCTGCTTTATTATTATTATTGTCATGCCGTACAAAATTTCTCAAATATCCACAACGGATGAGCTCTTCTATCTCATCGCGGAGGTTAATACAATTTTCGGTGCTATGACCGTGATCTCTATGGAAACTACAGTACAAGTTCTTGTTCCTAACATTAGAATCGACCTTGAGCCGAGGTGGCCACTTTACATACGGGGCGTCCTTGATCGCCATGAGGATCTCGGCCCGCTTCATGTTGACGGGTGTAAACACCCTTTCTGCTGTTGGAGATCGGAAAGGCTGAACTGGCTTTGCCCCCCGAGCTTGATCCTTCTTCTTCTTGTAGTCATTAAGAGCCGGGGGTTCCGGTTCCCTTTTCCTTTTTTCGAGGGCATGCTCGCCCTTCTAGTTGATCTTCTCCTCTGTTCCTATGAACTGATTTGCGAGCTCAAGGAACTCGGACACGGTTTTGGGCTGGTTAATGACCACGTGCCATTTGAACTCTTTGTGGGTGATACCTCGTTTGGCCGCCGTAAGCCGAACTGCAGGGTCCAGGTCGGGTATCTGTAGGCAAGCGTCATTAAACCGCTTGATATAGTTCCGGATGGACTCCTCATCTCTCTGGACTATGCTGAGGAGGATTTCTTGGGTCCTCAGGCATCTCTTGCTAGTGACGAAGTGGGAGGTGAAGACCTTCACGAACTGCACCCAGCTCCTTATCGAGCCCGGCGAGAGGTTTCGGTACCAGGTGTGGGCCACTCCTTTGAACGTAGTGGAGAAGGCCACGCACATGCAAGATTCACTCGCCTTGGCCAGATGCATCTAGGACCGGAAGGCGTCGACGTGGTCGTTGGGGTCGAAGGACCCATCGTATTTGTCCAACGGTGGGAGCTTGAAGTCCTTGGGCATGGGGACTGCGAGGAGCTCAGGGGACAAAGGAGAGGGGACCGAGAGAAGTGGCGCAGCTCTTATCTCTCCCGAGCTTATTTCTATTTTGCCCTTGAGCTCGGGCAGGTTGTGGGCGGTGGTAGTTCGGCGAGCCTGGCGACGTCTTCGCTACTTCTTGGCCGGCTCGGCGTTGGTGCTATTGGCTTCTGTATTGCTGAGCTCGATGGGCCTAGGGGGAGGCAGGGATGGCTGCCGGTAGCTGCGGACAGAAGGACCTTGCTCCAGGTCGTTAGCTAGCACCTCGAACCTGTTCTCCACAAGCAAAGGCTCGAACTGCGAGTGTTGGGGTGACACCGGCCTAACCGGATGGGAAGCCCCCGACCTGACCGCGAGCCGTGTGAAGGGGGTAGGGAGTCTTCCCTTCCTTCCGTGAGATGATGCCGAAGTCTCTCCCTGGCGAGAAGGGGGTTCACTGCGGCGCTGAGGCTTAGCTGGCTGCGCCACCGGATGCTAGGGAGGGAGTGAAGGGAACCGTTGCTGGTATTAGTACTGCGATACTTGGTGCAGCACTTGCTGCTAGTGAAACTGGAGTTGTTCAAACTGCTGCATCTGGGCCTGCATGGCCCGCATGCACTGTACCAAGTCTTCAAGTTGGCCTTGGCTGGCCACTGGAGGGAGAACGGTGGGTTCGGCGGAGGTCGTCCCGACTGCAGGGGGCAGCAGGACAGTTACGGGTGCCACCGTTGCAGGCACGTTCAGGCTAGGAACC